GCGTAACTATTTTTTGATCATCATTTAACTCAAAATCAATTTATAGTCTCAGAACCCACTTTTAATAGCAAAGCTCCTATATTATCACTTTAGGATAATTTTTAATTATTTAATAAAAATTATTATGTATTATTTCAAAAGAATAATATTTATTTAAATTATTCCTATTAAAGAATTCTAAAAAATAAAATCATTCAATAATAATAACAAACTTTTATTTCAAAGAGGCAATTTTTTTAAATTGTTCTAATTAAATAATAATATATTATTCTAAATTGACATTTTTTAATTATTTAATAAAAATAATAATACATTATCCCTTTAAATAATTTCATTTAAATTATTTAATATAAATAATAATTTATTATATAAAACTTTTATAATAGAAAGTAGAAAAACTGCTAAAAAAATAAAAAATGAATTGATGCTAAATTTAAATATATTTTAACTAAAAATCATATTTGATATATAAAAGTAAAATTAATTTTTTCTAGCAGTTTCATTCTTTTTATTGCAAAAGTCTTATATTATTTCTTTAGAAAAAATTTTTTAAATTATTCTTATTGAATAATGATATATCATTTTCTTAAGATAATTTTTTAAATTATTTAATAAAAATAATAATCTATTTCACTTTAATATAATTTTTTAAAATTATTTTTATTTTTATTGAATAATAATATATTATTCCTTTAAGATGATATTATGATCCATTTGACCAAAAACTATTTGTCACCAGTATGCATAATATAAATAACAATTTTATAGTAACTGTATCAATTGAAGTGTAATATTTAATGCAATGACAAATAGATTCGGTCAAATAGCTTTTGTCAAACGTACCATAATCGCTAAAAAATTATATATATAATATATAATTTGTTTAAGTTATAAATTTTTTTTAATATATTTTACAAATCTTTTTAAAATAATATTATATAATTTTGATGATACTTATTTTTAAGGTTTGCTTATTTTTAGATGAATATAATATTATAATATAATATATATAATTAATTATAATAAAATTTATTTTAATTAATTATTGTTATTAAAATGATTTTTTTTAATAGTTTCTTTATTTTTTTTTGCTAATATTAAACTAATAATATTAATCTTTCGTATTTTTTTAATTGTAAAAAAAATTAAATGGAAAGAAAAGAAAACATTTAAATGATAAAAAATTGATTAGATAAATAATAAAATAAATAGGAATTTTCAAAAATAAAATTTCAATATTTTTAATATAATAAAAATAAATATAAAATTAAAATAAAAATATTAAAAAAATATCTTATATATTTTTTTTATATATACAATAGTATAATTTGTATAATATATATTATTTGATTAATATTAAAAAAAATTTTTTTTTGAGCTATTGGTAATTTTCTTTCTATCTAATGCAAAGAAAGCGTTTATATTGTAAATTTTTATTATTATTAAGCATATTAAGCAGCAATTCTTATTATTAATATTGGAATTTTTGGATATTTTGGTTTTAAAAAAGGCTGAGAAACTAAAGTTAAACAAAAGTCCAAACATTTTGGATGCTTTAAATGAAAAGATGCATTTTTTTTATTTTGCAAAGAAACTTTAAGGTTAATTGATAAATAAATCGTTCAGTATATCAAACCTTTATTTTGAATTAAGTGATATCAGAAAAATTAAAGATTTTAAGGATTAGTTATTTGCTTATCCAAAAATTGGATTTTATATACATCAGTGTTTCAAATTCAAATCAAAAAAAAAAATGTGCATTTCTTTATAAAATTGCATAAAATTAAAAAATAGAATCGATTTTATAATCGCTAGTTAAAAATTGATCATGTGATTTTGTCATACCAAAGATGTCTGATTATAAATAAAATAAAAGATTTTTTTTTTCATCATTCTTTTTATTTCTTTTTATGAAAATAAACATAAAATGGTAAAAAAATAAAAGATTAATTAATTTCGAATTGCTCTAACAATACTAATTTTTTCATTTTAACTTATTTAGTCAACACCAATAATAATTGGATTAGGAGTAGCAGTAGCAGCAACAGCTGGTAGATTCGCAATAAAAGCCGCACAAAATTATAAACCAAGAATTAGTGGAGGTATAAGTAGTGGCAAATATTATAAAGGAGGTTTCGATACTAAAATAAATAAACGTGAAGCTGCTTTAATCTTAGGTTTAAGGTATGGTTTACAAGAGCATTCCTTTTTTGCCTTCTTTTACTTATAATACTTTGTCACTTTAAATAGGGAAACAGGGATCAATAAAGCTAAAATTAAAGAAGCGCATAGAAGAATTATGTTACTTAACCATCCTGATCGTGGTGGTTCACCTTATTTAGCCAGTAAAATTAACGAAGCAAAGGATTTTCTTGAAAAAAGCGTTAAATCATGAAAGATCTGTGGGCATTGGGGGATGTTACATTGGACATTTTTCATTATCAACGATTTTTGTCATTTTGCATTTAGTTGGATCTTAGAGAATAATTATAACTTAAATATTTTGACGATAAGAATAAATCTCATAATAAACTTGGGATCTATTTCCTAATTATAAAGAGAAAATATTTACTAAATTATTCAACAAAATCAAGAATGAAATATTTAATTACGATAGATTATTAATAGAACAGTTAGTGCATTATAATAATTAATATAAAATTTATATCAGTCAAGTACAGTGTCACTTTTATGTTCATCATGAGAAGAATTCGGCTCATAAAAATTAATTTTTGTTAATTATCAAAAGGGTGACGTTTATTGCTGCGGTCTATTTGACCCTCATAATCTGGGACTAAATTTTATACAATCCTGGGAGTGGTGATTTACTATATCTCGTGACTTGATTTTTACTGTCAACGTTCCCATATGATATTTATATTTAATCATTTCAAAGGTCAAGGTATAAATACATTACTACGGTAATATGTAATCAATAAGGGCGTATATTCAATTTTTAAACTTTTATTGGTCTTTTTTTTAAAAAAAAAAAAAAAAAATCCCATACTATTAGTGAATATTTATTTAATACATTCTAATACATAAAATAGAAAATATATATATATATATTTGTCATTCCAACGAAGAGAATTATGCATAATTTATCAATTGTCCGTATTTCCATTTCCATTGTTATTCCAAGGTAATAAAAGGTTTTTATTTTTTAAAAAAAAAACTCGCATGCATTTTTGTTTAAGCATGACACATGCGCATTCGAAATTTATTTCTATCGACATAATATGTTCAAGAACCTTAAGAAAAAGCTATATCAATTGAAAAATAAAAAATTTGGATCAAACTTTAATACATTTATTATTATTATACAAATCTGAATGTCTGAATTAAAATTTTTTTGTTGTTGTTGTTTACAATTATAATCAAAAAAAATTACAGAGAAAATTATACAAAAAAAACATGAATGAAATTTACTATATATATTAATTACTACTATTTCATTTTTTTTTTAAAAAAAAAATAAAAATATGAATGAAAATATTTATGGGTAATCTATATTCTAAACAACGAACTTTTTTTTAAAAAAAATAAAAAACAATAAAATAATTAAATTACTCGTTTACTAATCGCGTTCATTTCAAAACGTTGGTTATCAAATTGAGGAAAAGCATCAACTAATTTACTTAAATTCCCTTCAATTTCTTGAAATTTTATTTGTTTACGTTCTTCAGGTGCCACAAATTCTGCATCTTGAGTTATGAAACGATGTTTTAACGCTCTACTTACGCGTTTAAACATACGCTGAGTATACATTGCTTCCTCTTTTTCATTTGATAAAACGAATCTTTGACGTTCATATAATGTTGGATCTTCAAGACGTGAAAGATTTTCGGCTAATGTATTAAAATACATTTTGTGAATATCTTTTCGTAAATACCCATCCTACGATGCGATTGATTAATATAAAATTTCCAGTGTTGATTAATTCAATTTTGGTTGTAAAATAAATATAAATTAATTTACCTGAGCGGGATATCTTGGAGGTAGTTTATCGACATTGGCATTTAATTTAGCCAACTCCATTTTATCCAATTGATCATTGGTTAAAGAAACGCGTTGATTTAGAAATGCTTCAAAAGCAGGACTTTTCAATTTTCTTGCGACTTCATCAACAATAGCATCGTGAGCCAATCGTATTTCCAATTGTTCTTTACATGAAGAACATTTACAACTTGGTAAATGAGGTATTGTTGAACCTTTAATCGTAACAGAAGATAATGCATGTTTTGTTGCAGGTGAAACTGGTTCACTTTTTGCTGTTATTCTTGGAGGTAAAGAGTCATTATGAATATGTATTGTACACCTGTTCTGACTTCTTTGAACTAATGGGGCTGGTGTCGTTACTGAAAATGAACGGGATCTTAGAGGCATCATGATTATTTATTTAAAAGAAAGGAATGAAAAAAATTAATAAAAAAAGGAGGGTGATTAATTTTTTTTTTAACAAAAAAAAAAATAAATAAATAAATAAATAATAATAGTTTTAATTTTAAAAGGAGAGAATT